TTTACGTTTCTGCCACAAACTACATAAAAATTTCTTGCACATCTTATCCCCGTCCTATACGGCCTCTTGTGCCCACCATCTATCCCCAATTACAGCGATCGCTTTTTTGCTGTTGTCTAATTTACCAAACTTGTCCATGTCACACCCTCTCTGTCTCNGCTTTTTACGTTTCTGCCACAAACTACATAAAAATTTCTTGCACATCTTATCCCCGTCCTCTAAGGCCTCTTGTGCCCACCATCTATCCCCAATTACCGCGATCGTTTTTTCGCTGTTGTCTAATTTACCAAACTTGTCCATGTCACACCCTCTCTGTCTCATGTCCTCCTCGAGATCCTCTCTTTCCTTCCTGTACAGCTCACACTCCCAAACTATGTGGGGTCTACTCTCCTCCCATTTGCCACATGGACATGTCTGCCTATCCTCCTCTTCCTCTCTCCTACGGCTGCTGTACCTCTTCCTCCGTTCTGGCAAGTCCAGATCGCCTACTCGAAATTGCAACTTCAGTTTTTTTGCGTAGTCCATGGGGCCGTCCAAGTAACTCTTCATCCCTATCCCTTCTTTCAACTTCCCGTATATCTCCAAGTGGTCTTCGCTTCGTACCTTCTTCCGAAGGGTTGCCTCCTCCCTACTTTCTAGCATCTCCTTGACTTTCTTCTTGAACCCCCCGAACAATGCCGTGTCCAATGCCTCCTCCTCGTCTCCTATCTCCTTCCACACCCTCTCTACCACCTTGTCCCATCTGATTCCTTTCTTCCCTGGAGTCGCTTTTCCCCAAGCTGCCTTGTCAACCATGGCTGGTAGTCTATCGTCCGACATTCTACTTACCTTGTACTGCCAATTCAACTTTTGCATGTCTCTCTTTGTTTTAAGAGAGTACATTCCCAGTTCTGCTCTCAATACAGTGTTGCTCGTTGTACTTGAACATCCTAGTATTTTCTTGGCCGCTGCCATCTGCACCGTTTCCAGCTGCTTGAAGGCCTTTTCGTTACCTTCCCATACCTCTTCTGCATACTCTAGCTTAGGTACAATCACATTCAAGAGAACACACCTCTTAATCCTAGTGTCTAGGTGTGGGTCCGTAAGGATCTCGTCCATCTTGCCTATCTGAGCTTTACCCTTCCCAATCAACTTTGCTATGTGTGCGTCCCATGAGCACTCCTTCGAAATCTCTACTCCCAGGTACGTATACCTGTCTACTACCGGTAGTTCTTCCTCCCCCCATTTCCATTTGAATTCTACGGGATTTTTCTTGTCTTCGTTACAGACCACTACTGCGCATTTTCCTACGTTCGCCGACAGTCTCCATTTTCGGGTGTATCCTACTGCCGCATCTATTTGTTCCTGCAACCCTTCTGGTGTTTCGGATACCCCCACGAAATCATCTGCAAACATCAGTCCGGACACACTCTTTCCCCCTACTTGGACTCCCTGACTTACTGGTTCAACCGCCCTTATCAAGTCGTTGATATAAATCTTGAAAAGAGTGGGTGACATCGTACAGCCCTGTGCGACTCCTTGGAGTATATCCACGTACTTCGAGATTTCCCCATCCAACATCACTGCACTTCTTGTGCATTCTGTCATCTTTTTCAACATCCTCCACATTTTCCCCGGGATCCCTATGTCCCACATCTTTTTCCACAATCCATTGCGCCAAACGGTGTCGTAGGCTTTTTGTACATCTAGGAAGAAACAGTATGTTGTACGCCCGGCGTCTTTCCTACCTTGGATAATTTTACTCAACGTATATACATGGTCTACACAACTACGATCTGGTCTAAATCCAGCTTGTCCTTCGCTGATCTTTTGTTTCCCCTCCAACATGTCTCCCATTCTATTGTTTATCATCTTGCCAAAGAGTTTCCCCACTGTGCTCAGCAAGGTTATCCCTCTATAATTCCCCGGGTCAGTTTTATCCCCCTTTTTGAACAGGTTCACGACTACTCCTTCTCTCCATCTCTTCGGCGCGTACTCGTGTTTCCATATCCAGTTGAATATCCGGACCAACATGTTAATCATCCCCCCCCCCCCGTTTCAGAAGCTCATTCACAATTCCGTCAGCCCCTGCCGCTTTTCTATTCTTGAGTTTCGCTACACAGTCCTCTACCTCTTCTCGTGTGAACTCTCCCTGCAACCCGTCTACATCACTACATTCCCTCCGAGATCTTTCAACGTTTTCCTCTGCCCACGAGTTGATTTTCTTCTCAAACTCCGAGTCGAAGTTGCCGTTGGTGGTGGGTGCCCCAAGTTTGCGGTAGTGCTCTACTAGTACTTCCCGCTTTCCTTTAGAACTGCTTACCATGTTACCCTCGGCAGATCGTAGTGTCGCTATTCCCGTGTCTCCCCCTCTTTTCTTGCCCATTATCCCTTGGATTCCTACCCACATTTGCTTCATCCCCCCCTCAAAACTTCGTTAGTCTTTTGGACTACTTCCTCCCACAACGCTTTCTTCTTCTTCACCACCAACTCCTTCACCCTCTTTCTATTCTCAACATACTCCTTCCATCCTGCATCGGTTTTCCCTGCCGCATATTTTGCGTGTGACTCTCCACGTACTCGAATTGCTTGCTTGATTTCTTCGTCCCACCACTTCACTGCTCTCTTACAAACTATCAACTTTCTACCGAGAACTCTACTTGCCGTTGTGTTTACCAGCTTTTGCCACCCTTGTATGATTCTAGATCCGGCCTGGTCCCGACCTTTGGCATCCTTCGGTGTGCCCATTGCCTCTATCAACTCCGAGAGTTTCTTGTCGTTTACAGCCATCTCTGGAACTCTACCCTCGTTTCTTCTACTTCTAGCATATCTATTCTCCATCTGTATATTGTCCTGCGTCGCCTACTCTGTATGACTCTCGTCTGTTGTAGGGCTGTCCACACCAACGCATGGTCTGTAGTGCCTACATCCGTTGTGCATACTCGTACTTCCGTCTCTTTCCCCCCATTCTCTACGACTATGTAGTCAAGGATGGAGCGTTCTCCTTTTTTGAAACACTGCCTAGTCCATTCGGTTCTGTCTTTCGTACTCTACCGTTCAACACCTTCATCTCGCTACTGTCAAGGAACCTCAGCATTTCTTCCCCGTTTTTGTTCGTGGCTCCCTCCCGGTGGGTTGGGGGGGGGGGTAGCATAGTCAGAGAAGTACGACATGTTATCGGGGTCAAAATATGCCCATCACGTGAAAAAATATCCTTCGAACGGGGGTACAAAGTATCGAACGGCTATGCACAGTTCTATCCCTGATGGTACCAGACAAGTACTTCGATACATTCAACGGGCCCGGGTGCCAGAGGAGAGCAGGGAGTACTCTTCGAACATCTACAGTTCAAGACTTCAATATCGTTGTGTTCGAGTCCTATTTCGTGCGGCGACAGCAGCGAATTTCCAGACAATTACCTCCGGCCACGTTCGTGAAACGCGTACGGGGGACAGACCAATCACCTGCTGCGCTGGAGTGGGCGCCTGGTCACCGCCGGGTGATCGATTTTCATTAGCTTCGTCCGGGTTGAGGATGGATTCGATGGGGCTCCCGGCATGCCCGGCAGCCAGTGGTCCCCCCGGGTGTTGAGGTAGGTGGCGTTGCCTGCAAGGGAAGGGCAGCGTGGCAGCAGCAGCAGCAGCAGCAGCAATCGAGACAAGGCAAGATTTGTCGAGATGCCGAGACGAATCACCATTTTTTTGTTTGTCACGTCTGGAGGGGAAATAAACAAACACGTTTTATGGACCACCAAAACGTCGGACACGCACCCATTCGGGAGTTTTGAAGGACTTGATGGGTGTGGTTGCCCGCACGAGACAAGAAGGCATGCCCTCTGTTGGATCAGTAGGGGCCGGTGGCGGCGTTTGTGCTAGTCTTCCCTCGATAGGAGTGTCTCCCTTGACCAACTGATGAGCAATGGAAGGAACACTGGTAAACTTTTGCCCAAAAGTGCGGAATGTCGAATTCGTGTTTTCGTCGCTGTCTACCTTGGAGAGTAAACGTTAGCCCTTGGGTCCAGAAAAAGATGGGCGAAACACAAACAAAGCTGATCGCCTCCCCAGAGATCGACAAACGAGAACGATTACGATTTTTTTCGCCAACTTTCCACATAGTCTACATACGCTAGCGCCTTCCGAGACGCCCCCAAACGAGCGAACGGCGTAGGTACACGTCGTGGCTGGTTCTTGTCTTGGGCTCTCGGCAACAACCAGTCAACAGCACTTTGTAGGCGCCCGGGGGGCCAAAATCTTTCTGCTGTACAACACCAAGTCTGCACCAGGAGTATGTGGGGGTGGTATATGGTAGAACTATCACAAAGCAGACAGGATTCATCATCATCATCAGCTGTCTCGGGCACGACGCAAAACTTCCGTGGACGGTTGAACGGGCTGGTTACAATACTCACGTGACGAATCCCTTGGAGATCATATCGTCGAACCATGCCGTGTTCATTCCATCCCCGTGGCCGTCTTGCATGATTCTCCCTCTGTTGGCAGCATAGGGTGAACCACGTCATGGGATGGATGGATAAGCAAACGGCTTCTAACGTTTCCACTATCAACTCGAATACGCATCAACTCTCTGTTCTTTTTTTCCCACAAAAACCATTTCGCGACTTGGGACCCAGACGACACAAGATCAGAAGATGAGCCACTGCTGTCGCTCTCTGTAGACTACCCGCGATCGCAAGTAATGATAACTCAGGAAGTCCTCTCGATCTACGTGACCAACAGGTACACCACACCACCGCCCCGGTGATTAAAAGCGGCCAACTATCAATCCACTCAGGCGGACGACATTGGAGTGCAGTATGCAACAACGTTCGACAGCACCAGTTGCATGTCGTCGTCATACCGTACATGACACAATATAACACACCCCCTGGACCGATATCAAAATATCAATTTCTCGACAACAGAAGGAGTCACGGCGTCGAAAACGGCGGCGTTGGAACCGTCTCGTCAAGAGCTTTCCAAAAATGTATCGTTTCGTTTATGCATCCTCTTCGTCGTGGAGTAATCGAGCGTTGAACATTGGTCCAGGGATGTGTTATCTTGTGTCATATACGGTATGTATGTAGTACATAGCGAAAGCCCGTAGAGCGCAAGAAAACCCTGTCGGCGTCGTCGGATTCATCCGCCAAGCTGATCAAGCACTCAACGATGACTCACCGATTTGTGGTAACACGCCCGGCTACAACAGCAAGGCCCCTTGGCACGGATTCAACGGCAGCCGATGAGCGCGAAGCCAGCAGTTAGGCGGGCTGCGGACGGACGCCAGCAAGGTGCCTGATCGGGACTGCGGAAAGCTCGTTCAATTGAAAGTTTGCCAGCTCAATTCCTTTTTGGGAACCGGCCTCCGGAGCATTTGATAGGCTGAAAATCACGCTCCCGCGCGCCGCTAAATAATACTTTCGGGGGCTTCGCATAATCATGACCGTCGAGCGCGATTTCGCAATTTCCGCGGGACCTGCAAACTGCAAACCCCTTCATGGCTAACTCTGCTATTATACGACACGAACGCAAGAGCGGCCGACGAATAGAGATATCCTCCCTGAGGATGGAGGGAAAAGGAGTAGTATTCGTAGCCCTGCGGTGCTTCTCTTGTCAGGTGTGTCTCTGGACCGCTTTTTTTGGCATGGTGAAGGGGCCGGACCTTAGGTTAACCCTCTCGCTTCGACCAGCTGTCTCTTACGATCCCGTATCGCTATCGTACGGATGTAGGGCGACAGGCTGGCTGATTGTCGTTCAAGTCGTCCTTCCTTGCGTATCATATAGATATGAGCTGGCAAGTTGCGTTCTACGTACAACAGGACAACAAGGCACGAAGCGAGACATGTTTTTTTTTGCCAGTCAACCGACAGGATTTTCCACACGGCAGCCGCTTGACACTTTCCAAAAATTCAAACTGGGCTACTTCTACGCACTGCTGTATGCATGTAATACCTCCATCTCTTCCTTCTCCACCTCCTTCGCTCCGCAGGTGTTTCAAGTCAACCAAAGGACCAAGTCGGGCAAGTGGAAGTGCCGAATGGTGAGCTGTTTTGGTCAAGACGACAGGGTTGGTGTTCGTGCATACACCGCTCCTCGTTTCGCTTGATTGTTGCACGTGCAAGACGAACGAACGCGAAAGCGTCGCTGGGTGTTTGGTATCCCAGGTATGGGAGCAACGTGCACGGACACAAGGTTTACCTGCGTTGTCCGTATGCTACCGCGCTGGGTTAGGTATTCTCGGTTATGATGTTCTGAACACACCTCACCTGCCTTGGCGTTGTCGACGCTCCATTTCTCGACGCTCGCTCGCTCGATCGATCGATCCCCTCAGGGGCCACCACATGTTCCTGTTTTTGTAGGTGGCCCCTTCCATCCGTATTGAACGAACAGCCTTTCATGTTGGTACAGGTGCTACCGGTAGACTCTTGTTTTCTCACTCTCCGTCGCATACCATACAAGTTTATGAGTTAGCGAGCAACGGGCACAGACAACGCCCCCACCCTCACTCCCGACGTAGCCTAAATTGTTTTCCGTGGGTCCTGATTGGTGTCTGGAGTTCAACGCTGATTGCTCGGTTTGTTTGTCACCAGCAAGTGCACGATAAGGGCACCATTCCGTGTATGTTTTGTGTTCCAGCCGAATCTCATTGTCTCTCGCTCCCCCTTTGCATCCTCTGCGCTATCAATCCGATGTGCCCATCAAGTGCGGCGAGGGTCAGAGCATCGTCAAGGTGTGGGGTAGAGGGGGCCACGCGAAGGATGTCCGCGGTCTGGTTATGGCTCTCAACGCCGCCGCCGGGGGAGGGGAAGACCCCAACAACGTCGTGTGCAACAACGTTGGAGGATCCGAGCCGCAATCACAATCACAGCCGCATACGCAGGACGGTCAAAACCCCAGCGGCAGAATCGGGAACCACGACGACGACCGTGCGTATTCCGTGGGCGACCGTGCCTCCCTCCAGCACACCCTGGGACAGGCGCAACCTGGGTTGTATGTACGAAATGGCAGCTGGGCTCGACCTGAAGGGTTTGTTCCCGCAAGTGTGGCGCCCATCGGTGACGAGCATGACCCCGCAGTCGGCTCGTGGCATTCCTGGGGGACCGAGAAGATGGATGGCGTAAGCTCGGGCACGCAGGACTTGTGGGATGGGGATTCGAACGCAGGGTACCCCCGGGCAAGGGAGGCGACGAGCCACCCGAGCGATGGTTTCGGGACAAGTCGCGAGCACCACCCCAATGTGCGTGCGACGTGGCAGCCGGTCGCTGAACCAGCAGGAGCTGGGGGGAGAAATGGTAGCCGATGGGGAGCGTTTGCGTCCAACCGCGCAACGGAGGTCTTGGACGGGCGCCTAGGGCCCAACCAGGAGGTACACTAGTCACTATACTGGTCTTTGTCATACCGCTCTGGTTGTTTTCCAACTGCCTGTGCCTACGTAGTTTTACCTCGGTGGGGAAAATGCGGGTGCAGTACGTACACACAAGCGAACACATGCATACGGACGGGGTTTCATGGGCTCCCTTCTTTTGGCGACAGGTGTTCAAAGAAGGTCCCCATCACAACAAGTAATATTTTCGCGGACAAGTGTACGTAAGCGGAATCGTTTTTTTTCTTGGGACGATGTAATTCCACGCCTCCTGTGCGAGTGCCATTCCCGTTTCAATCGTCTAGAAGACCAAAGCTAGTAGAGTTACAATACCTCCATGCCTTGGCTTGACACCATCTTCTCTAAAGCCTTGCACTCGAGCTTCGGTCTGCTTCACATCCACCCCCACGCCCTTGCCCCCTGTGCTCTTTCTGTCTTGTACGTACGTGGAAGGCGTTACAAGACCCGAATTTCGTCACGTGCCTCGAGACAGCCCCGGCCAAGCGGCGCGCCAGCCCGACGCCTGGGAAGAGAAGGAGAAAATGCGGCCCACCGAGCAGCTCAGACTCGCCATTGGAGGACGGGGCGTCGAGGTCGAGGTATCGCAGGACGTTGGAATACCAGCAGCAGGCGGCGTCGAACAACGGTGCTGCGGCGGACGCTGGCGATGCACGTGGAAGGGGCGGTCCTCAGTGGCAGCAGGATGGTGTGACCATGCGCCGCGCCTGGTCCTGCTCAAGCTCAAGCGCGTCGGGCGCGAGTCTGTACGGGGGCCCGATGACATACACGCGGGACGGCGGATGGGAAGACGGGAGGCGGGATCCGTGCGGGACGAACCGTGGCCGTGTTGGTGCCGTCGACCAAGAGTGGTCTCGCCCCGCCCACAGCGCTAGTGGTTACGGTGGCATGTCAAGGGAGGGGAGTGTGCTCACGTCAGAGTTGAATGGTAGGGGCAGAAGAAGTAGCACTGCTTCGACACCACCGAACAGCAGTGCACCCGGTGGCACCGGTGTCGTGGGAGCAACAAGAGGTCCCTCTTCATCGTCAAGGTGGAGCAAGTTTGCGCGATGAGACACAAGATGGATCATCACATTTAGGACTTGATTTGAATCACGTTCTTTCATGCCAACGGCGCGGCTTCGAAAGACGCAGATGAAGCGTTTCAGAGGTGGTGAGCGGTGCGTTTAGGCTCTGAGAAAACAAGGTGTCGGCGAACTCTTGCTGAATCCTTGCCGGGTGGTATCTCTTTGACCACCCTCTGGGCTTGAAACTCACAAACATTCGTAGAGGACAGTGGACAGCGAATCGAGGCAGAATGGAGAGGACTGGTGGTCTCATGGACACCACGTTCCCCCTCCCCCTGCTGTTGACCGTTTCAAGACTATTTCGCGCGATCTTGGTGGGATACTCTCATGATACCTGCCATCTGTTTTCGCGAGCTCAGTGTCAAGAGTCAACAACACGTTGGGCCGCGGAACGGTCTCGAGAGCATACTCCAGTATCATTGTTCTCTTGTTTGCAACCCACTCACTCCTGCCAAACTCGGACACGGTCATGTTTATCCCTAGCGTAGCAAGCTTGGATGCGTCTCAAGTACCGTGAGGTCACAAAAGGTCCTAAGTACAGTACAAGAAGAGCCGCACGTCAGAGCACCTACTGCTGCTGTGCTTGCATGTCCCAAACCTTTCTTCGCGGGCAAAACACAACAGGACAAAAAAATATTTGAAGCAGTTACGCACGCACACGCACACCGGTCCGACCTTACAATACACGGCCGTCATATTCAACTTTATCGCAAACCAAGCAGCACACCACCACAACAAGCTGAGCGACCAATACCTGCGCTTCGATAGAGGCGTTCGCCGTGCACTTTCACGGCTAGGCGCTTGCGCGCCATGTGCACGAACAAATCCCAACAGTCTATGGCACGCATGGTACCGGCGTGCTTCTCTCTTTGATCACCCTCCCACCACATCCAAACTCATCCTGCGCGACGCAAACCATGCTTGACTTCGGGAATGTCCGCCGCACTCAAGCCAAACCGGATCGCTCCATGTACAGCAGGAGCCGGCTAAAATATGTCCCTTTCGCGGACGCGGTATTCGTTCTCTTCCCTGAATTGCCTCCCTATTCCCCCTTTCTATCCCGATTGAGGGAAACCGCCTCCGCTTGTCGTGAGCCCACAAGAGAACAAAGAAAATTCTATCAATACTGCAGAAAAAAGAAGTCGGACGTGCCCTCTCGCCCATCTACTTTTCATCATCATCGAGATATAAATGCACGGGGAAAACTAAAAAACACGTAGGCAATTACCATCCATCTTGCCCGCCCAATTCATCAAGAGCACGCTGGCAAAATGCATCGTTACACCGAGGAAGAGAACTTGTATGATGGCGTGCAACAACCATCGACCACCAGCACGATGACCCACACCCAGCCCAGCGCACGAAAGGAAGAAGCGCAAGGGCCTTGGGACGAGCAAAATCTTAGCACGAGAGCTCGCCCTTAAACGTCATCTGTACCAAGAAGATGAAAACGGTCAACCATGGCCCCACCGCCCCCCGTACACAAACCGAACCTACTTGAATAACTCCAAAGCAAACTTACCCCCCATCCCCCAGACACACGATTTAGACGGACTTGATTGATTGCCCATCACGAGTCTATTCCCGAACACCGCATCACACCGAGACTTGGCCATATTCTTGCGCCTTGTTGTTGATTAGTCGTGCATATTGGGATTGATCCGCCTTTCGGACAATCGAAGCACTGAAGTATGCGCCAGGGCCCATCCGTGGGGGGTGTATGGTACTGATACGCCCTTGCGAACGGCGACGGGTCGACATTTCTCCGAACCTAAACACAACCATAAAACGCGGATATATTCGCTTCAAGTCTGACAAAGCGGGTCGGGCGTCACGATGCATCGTGAACCAGTTGTGAGCTTCCACGCCGATCCAAACCCTTTCTCTCCCTCCCCTTCTCCTTCTTGCCCCCTCCCCCGCAAACTCGCTTGTCTATGGACTCAAGTAACCCGACTCCCCTACTACTAACTGGCCACATGTACGGTTAGACATCGCCAGGAAATACTATTTACACAAGGCGATTGCTTCCTCCTTCTAACCGCCGTGATTTGTTTTGTTTTCTTTTCTTCTCGTTCCCCTTTTGGTCACAGGAGCGACGGGCCAAAACCTTCCGTTGTCTTTTCCTTCTCCACAATCGCCTACACGCCAGCATGTGCCTATCGAGGGCGCGCCGCTGCAGGATTGACTACAAAGGACAAGGCAAGGCCCTGACATCACCTCCCCATTCCTACCCCGCAGCCGCGTTCCTCTCCCGCGGTGCGTTCACCTTAATCTCAGCCAACGAGCCAACAAGCGCTCCTCAATCCGTCCCCCACCCGCTTGCCATCAAATGGTCCAAGGTGGTCAGGTCTCCGTTTACGTCTTCTGGCCACTGCCCGCCCCACCCCGCCGAGCGGTCCTCTTGTTGGACAGACATGATCTCCTCCTCTTTGCCGTTGTTGATGCAGGCAACCACCTCCGGGGAGGGTTCCTGCACATGGGCCGTCCGGGAGTACGAGAAAGCGTTGCACGGGACAAGTACACAAAACCGTCACGTTACGCGTACAGTACATGCATATGAATGCGTAGCTGGAGAATTGAAAAATCAGCGCACGGTAGGTACAGAACACGCCCGCATTCTTAAGTATCCACAAGTTAAGAAATTGAGCCTAAAAGAAAACAACAAAAATAAGAACTTGCGCACCATTTTTCAGCTCGGCTAGAACCACGAAAACCTATGTAACGACCATTCGTACCATGACCCTAGGGAAACAGTAAGAACGCCCGCCTCGGCCGAAACTATAATGAAGGTTCTGAGGTGCGGGCGCGTTCTGAATGGAAACCCGAAAAAAACATGCCTCTTCGCGGTACACGCTCATCCCACAAATATACTTGGACGGGGCCCCGGATATGGAGCCACCACGCGAGAACAGGCGCTTGCTTGGTTGCTTGCTTACCTTGTCCAACGGGTGCTGGATACCAACGTAGTTGATGATCTTGCGCTCGCTGTTCCGAAGGGCCGCCACGAACACGTGGTTCCAGAAAACCGTACCGTCAGCCTTGTACTGGCGCAGGTACACCGACGTGTCCGACCCCTGTCGCACACAATAGGCCCAGAAAAACGGCAACCGCAAGACAAACCGTCGCGAAAAATATGAGGTAGGATACTCGCTCGTTGTCCAGTCATCTGTAGTGGAAGGGCGTGACGCTGCTGTAGCTTTAGCTTGACGCGACGCAGGCTCGGTGCACACGTGATATAGGGATTCTGCCGCAAGGTACGTGCTCGTGCGAATGCTGCAGTATCTCTCTGCAACGTTTTACGCCACCAGTCCGGTCTCGTCCGAGCAATCTAGCTACGATATCTACTTCAATCCAAACACTCGACACTGCCATGATATCGCGGGCATGGTCATGCCTGAACAATACGCAATGATAACATCTATGCATACCGCGCCGTACCTCCTCGATCCCCTTGCGGATCTTCGCCACCGCATCTGGATCCGTGTCCGGCCCCTGGAGGAACCGGCAGTTTCTCCCAAGCACCTGTGCCCGGTCGTAACCGGTCAGCTCGATGAACGTGTCGCTCGCGTACACGATCGGGTTGTCTGGCATCTGCGGGTCAGTGACACAGAAGCTCGGCTGGCTGGACTGGAGCGCCTTGACCAATAGGAAGCCGCTCTGGTCCAGCACAGCGGTTGCCTGGCCGGTGCAGTCCGCCACCATGGAAGGCATCTTTGACCTGCAGCTCATGAGAATCTCGCCGACAGAGTCCGGGCATCTCGTGGTGACGATGCCCTTCAGACGCTCGTTTTCCCGCTGGAGGCGCGCCACCTGACCACATTACGTGTTCGGCAATTATTTCACGTTTGGTTCACTCATCTTCATGATGCGAAAAGGTTGGAGCGCGGATGTTCCTCGATATCTAGAAACATGCTGATTTCTAGTGGGTCGATCCTTAACTCTAGAGCGTCTACCTGAAACCCTGATTCCACACCAGCATGTCCTGGTGCCACGTGCTAATAGGGAAACGGACGAGCGGTACGGATAGGATTGATAGACGGTCCGCTTTTGCGGCAAAGGTGCTTTTCAAATTATGTGTATGTCGATATCGCCTCACAAACCACAACGTCGGATACGGTTCATCGGGTTGATTTCTGAGGTAATTGCCCTGCTCTCACTGACTGGTGGGAAAATGGCATTTAGCATACACAGACGTGAACAAACTTGCTGTACACTACAATAGCGGCACCGCGCTCCATCAACTCGCGCCGCATATTTAGCAGCAGCGCGACATTCCCAGCGAGGAACGTCAACATTCAATTCCCATTTGTGTGGGCAACGACCAAGAAATATGATGTGCAAGCACGCTTGAGGTGTATGTGTATTTCTATCAACGAACATCTCCGGCAGGACATTCGATTAAGAACGAACAGAGGCACGCAGTAACGTCGTATATGTCCGCACATTCGGGAAAGTGGTAGAAGGAGCCCTACTGACTTGTGAGTTTGGTCTGGGAAGCGGGAGGGAGGGGGCGAAATATCGCCCTGTTTATACATGGGAAATGATGGAAATCAAACAACCTCCAGCGTTGCGGGCGGGTCGCCTGGAAGTAAGTTCTTCGACGCCCACCTTAATAAATAGCACAAAGTTTTCCAACTTGCTGGCAATACAGTTAATTGTGGTGTTGACGAGCGCGGGGCGGGGGGGGCGGAGAAAGCCAAAAGAAATCGCGCCACGTTAGAAACCGTCTCCATTCTGTGAATTCGTGCGGGCACAGGCAGATGAAATTTCCAGCCGCCCTGCTGCACATTGTACTATTTGAAACCAACTCATGATTCCATGTGTGATCATGTGCGCCACCTCCGCCACCAATAGCTTGGGCTGCGGTCGCGCGCTGATTGGTTGACTTCAACGACTCACTCCATGGGGGAGTTTCAAAAAGACAGACCAACCCGGTGTATGCCCCCTCTCCGTTGAAAAAAAAGCCAGGCGTGTTTGTGCTGGCGCTTCAGGTTTGTTTAGGTTTCCTTCCTTGCCCTCCCATCATGCATACTGGTACAAAATATAACAGAATGTCCAACAACACAGTGCTTATAACTGTCTCTGGAGTGAAAGCACCAGAACATAAATCAATTCATACGCAGCTGTCATCCGTACGCAAGGAAGTAAGCACAAGATGCCGAACACCCTTCGCAGGATGCAGCGCACCCTTCATGCGACTCGCCGAATATCTCACGGCGCTTCGCGCTTGGTGATGTGAGAGCCTGGTCCGGCGAGAACCCGGCGTGCTCCGTCCCGGCTTTGTTGGGATGCGAGGTCAATGGTCTAACGACTACGGCATGCACGACTTTGAGTACACCCCCTCCCTCCCTGTAACCCCAGACGCCTCAGTTGTGCACCAAGCGTCTGATGTACAAAACTTTTCACGACTACTATTTGAATGCTGAATACGAGAGAGAAAAGGACACTGGTTGCGCTTGTCTGTTGTGCACACCACAGATGTTGGTGGGGATAACAATCGGAAATTTAAAATTCCGCTTTTGTGCTGGGTTGCCGAACCACTACCGCGAGCCTCCCGTAACCTCAAGCATAATCAACCAGCAATCCCTGCGTCCCGGCACATACAGCAGCGGGGCACCGGCAACAAAACTACCCTCTCTTGCTTGCTGTGACCACCAACCTGCTGTTGAAGGGACTGGAAAAAAAACTTCTTGCGCAGGCGAGTTCGGCGCGCCAAGACCCTGTTCCTCTCTCTCCGCTTCTTCGCCTGCTCCTCCTTGCTAGACGAACGCCGCCGTGTTACTCCCCCCGCCGACGTCTTGCGGAATGTTGCCCCGACCCCTCCCAGTGCTGCTGCTCCCGCAGCGGCGGCAGCCTTCGGCCCCCGCAGCATGCTGCTGAACCCGCTGCTGCTGCTGCTCGTTGTGCTTCCTGCGCGGCTGCTGCCGGTAACCCCCCCCATGATCACATCCAGTGCCGGATCTGCCACCGGCGCAGCAGGCAACGCTTCTGGTGCTGGCAAGCGTTGGTCCTGCTGCTGCTGTTGCTGTCTTGGTTGGGGTTGCCAGGGGGCGGCAGGTTCCGGCATCATGAAGGCCGAAGGCTCATCCTTCACGATGGGGGACAGCTCGTTTGCCCAAGGCGGATAAAAGTGGCCCGTGCTGTCGGGCACTTCGTTCATGAGAAAGCCCGTCATGGTCGAGAGATCAGTCAAGTCTAAGCCAAGGTCATCCGGTTGGAAATCTGCGTCTGTGGGCAGAGACGGGCGCGGGGGGGGGGGGG